ATCTTTTGCGAACAACTTACACTTATTCCTCCATGCTACTTTCAAAACAACAACAAGCTTGGTAAGCATATTTATCGGAGAAGGTGTGGCACTATTTCCATTCCTTGGGGGGCTTCAGACTTACTTTGCTCCATTTATAATAGAGAGCTAGATGACGTTGCGATGAACATCGTGCAGAAACATTCAATGGCTAGCGAAATATCTAAGTTTTCCGTGTTCTATCCTTCTTCTCATGACTTTTTTCGAAAAAAAACTAGGAGTGTATCCTCTTCTTCTGATATATAACACAGGAATAACACACAATTAGAAAACTGTAGAACACTTAAGAGTTACTAAGAAGACAAAGGAAAAGTATAAAACGTTGGAGCACATGCATGTTGCATCAGGCATTTTAGAGCCTGATTTTAGTAAAAATAACTCTAAAAGTAACTACAATTACGTACAACAGCGTGCAGATACGTAGAGAAAAAAGTAAGAATTAGCCAAAAAGTTCTCCCCGGCCGGGAATTGAACCCGGGTCTCGCATGTGACAGACGCGGATACTCACCACTATACTACCGAGGACTGAAATCTTTAAAAAAGTTTTGTTACAATTCATATAGCTTTTTATGCTGAATAATGTTTCCAAGAAATTGTTTTCTCATTTTGTTTCAGAAGAATCAATTCAGTAAATGCTTTTTCTATCAGAAAATCGGATTAGTATCGAAATTCTGAAGAGAGATAGTCAAGAATTACAAGCTCCAAATGGAAACCAGAAGGAAAACAGCAACATATTGAAGTTCATGGCTGGCAGAGACAATATCATGAATAATTGTACAGATCAGAAGATCTCATTAAGAAATACATGCTATATGTTAACAAAACACTTCAAACCTATTCCTACTTGTTTCGTGTCTGTCATGAAATGTGTTGCTTTTTGTTGCATATTATGAGAGGGTTTTAATCTTCTTGTAGTCCAGATTGTGAATCTCATGACCCTTGACCTCATGTCCAAAAATGTGCTTGTTTCTCATTATATCAATCATTGCATATGTTCAATGAATCGCGAAGTATTGGATATCAGAAGAACCGAAAGTATGATAAACGACAACCGGTGCGATAAAGCTTCTTTCTTCGGATGCCTATACACAACAATTCGGAGATTTGCAGAAAAATCTCCTGACAGCTGGCTTCTGACCGAACAGTACAATCAAGCAACGGAGTTGCGAATGTTGTTCACTGTGACATCTGAAAATTAGCTCGTTTTTCAATATGCAAAACTATTTCTAATCCAATATAGATATTTAATGTAGTTAAATGGTACAGAAGAAGAAACCAATCAGAGCTAATGGCACGCCCAAATTCGTTACATGACAGCTTCACTCCGCCCACAATTAATCCTGTGATGCGGAGCACATATCAGATTTATCTTGAACGGTAATTCCGTTTTTCTAATTTATTGTTATATAATGTCTTTTTTATCGAGTTTCAAATAATATAATATTCTTTAATCCACTGGAGTTTGTCAAATTTTAGCAAAATTTTTATAAAATAAAATAATTGCCGCTACAGTACTAAGAAACTTATTACTTGATCAAGTGATCTCAGGAGATATGGATTACGGTGGATATTTTGGGCAGCAAAATGATAGCGCGATGACCACACCATTTCATCTGAACGCGAACTTCAACTTAGCTGCGGCTAACACAGGATATGCCAATGGTTCTAGCGCTTCTGCTCAATCTCAGACTCTCTACGGACAATATGCTAATCCTTACTTGGCCGGAAATAGGTATCTCACCTTCTTACACATACCAAACACTATCAATTCTTCCGAACCCTGCCTAACCAAGCCAACAACAGCCAACAATCCGGTACCTACAGGCAATCTACTCATGACTCCATACAGGCCTTCTTCAACTCAGGTTTCTACAAGAGCCCACAATATAATTATTTGTCTTATAGGATTGCAATACCAGCTATATCAAAAATCATCCTTGATGTCTGGCGCAGAAAATCTACCAAGAACTAACAGCATAATGGCAGGTATACCTGGCTCTTCTTTAGTAGGTAGGGAAAATATTCTGATACGGAACAAACAAAACTGCGTTAAGGTAGTTTATGTGGATCTGGCAACCCGGCTGAGAGAAGAAAACAACGTAGAATACGAACAACTTTTACTTCAGGACAACTCAAAGTAAAAACAATTATTTGAACATTAACTAAGTGTGAGAGCAAACGTTTAGGAACTAGAAAGAGCGTTCATGGAAACACATTATCCCGATATCTATACACGTGAAGATATTGCTCTCCGAATAGATTTAACAGAAGCTAGAGTACAAGTAAATATTAGTCAATATATAAGCATTGACACCATTTTTAAGGTATGGTTCCAAAATCGCAGAGCGAAATACAGAAAACAAGAGAAAATGCGTAGAAGTAAGGAATGTGGAGACGAGGATGACAAGAAAAGCACAGAGAAAACAGCGGAGACATCAGATGAAGTAACTTCTGATTCCACTATGGAGCAGGTTTAAACTGGAACAAGCTGTAAGAAACAACCGACTAGGGAATTACTCACCTTAGATATGTTTCAACTTCATACTTGTATTTCTCATTTACACGCATTCCGTTTTTAGTTTTTTAACAGTGAGAATATCACAATCTTCCGTTTGAACTGTGGGTACTTCGGTGCCGCTCTAAACAAAACAAAATTAAGAAAAATGTCGTGAAGACTCACAACTCTTCTGCTCATTTTATCAGTTATAGCTTTTGTATCACGCAAATTTCTTTCAATTGTAGATATACGTTGTCCAGCTTGATGAGCATTCTCAACAACAATTGTGGTTGTTAGAATATGTTGAGCATGATCTTTGGCTGTCTGGAACAACCCCCCTTGATCTCAATAATAAAATAATAAAAACCTCTATTAACTGAACGGTATCATCATCGCACACATCAGAGTATTGTAAGGTTAAATAAGACCAAGAACAGAGAATGTCTAACCTATCCAACTCATACGGTTTCCAAAATTGAGAAGCATTTGACCACAAGTATCTAAATCGCCAGATTTCTTTAAGTTGAGTTGTCTGGACTCACTGAAAACTAGATTTGACCCGCTTCCAAGTATCTTTCCGCATTTGTAAATGATTTCCACGTCTTGGCAATCTTTCTTGGACACGACAAATCTATGAAAAAGTAAGTATTAACGCGATTCCTTTCTTGAAGAAAACCGTGTGATAAGCATAATATATACTGAGCTGTGAACTGGAAATAACCCGAGGATCTTTCACTCTAGGGATCCGCTCCAGAGCTTCTATCCATTCCCAGCAAACCTGAGAGCTACTCTTAATCTTATAGTGGAGAAATGGTTTACCTCAATTACACTCTCGTCATAGTGAGAAGTATTCAATATGCAGGCATATACATGATCTATCAGTTCCAAATCTTCCACTCCAAAAGCTTCTTCCGTAGAAACTGCATTTCTAATAATGGAAACCGCTCTGAAAACACAAAAAAAATTAGTCACTATCACTGGTCAGCTACGTACTTTTCATAGTCTCGACTAACTGTGGCTTGAAAGGCATCTTTCAGAAGCTCACTCATAAGAAGACCGCTATCTGCATATGAAAACCAATAACGTTCACATCATAAATAAGTTTTCAAAATTTAAAACATTGTTCAAAAGGTAAGTCAGTAGTACTCCATAGTTATGCTAATGGCATGAATGTTCGCCAGGAAAGTCATTTTAATGTTGGTTGACGCAGTGACAGGTCGCATTCATTTTAAAAGACAAAACACGTGAACAGATAAAAACACTTCCCATGAAAAACTTCACACACTGATTTACTCAAAGTGATATAATTGATTTGAAATGATCTTTCTCAACCCCAACACTGTCCGATCATTTCATTAAATAGCAACAACTCACTCGATGAATAACAAGCGTTAACTGGGAGCGACTTACGGATATATCCTTCCAGAACCTGTTCATCAACATCGATAAATTTACACTTTGATCAATATTCAAATACTAACGATAAAAAGTTTACCAGAAGCTGGCTGCTCAGGTGTCAAAGGAATTGATGGTTGATCGCATTGCATTATGTGCTGCAAATAACTATGGAAGATACAAAAGTGATTGGAACACAGAAAGATCTATAGTCTATACCGGGAAAAGAAAAAAAGCAAATAGTTATTTACAAGTCTTCTTATGTTTTCAAAGCATAAAATAACTACCCAATAACACAAATTGTTGAGAAATTGGGATGAAACTGGGAATGGTAGATGCGATATTTCAATGGCGCAGCGTTTTAGACATCTAGGTCACTGGAACGCATCTTTATAGTAGTTAGATAGGACGTTCATTTATATTTACCTCGGGAGAAAAAAGAATTTTTGAAAGAACTTGGAGATCTATGACAATCAACTTCGAGTGACGACCCCGGCTACTCCTTTTACGTTCAAGTTTGAAGCTTCTAATTCGGTAACCCGCCGAAAATCATACATAATCTGAGTTAACATCACTCCTACTTACTTCATAGCTCTTTTCTTCCTTATTCCTAAATCTTTCCTATATTGAATCATCGAGCCGAAATTGACAACATATACGTATCCACAAATAGAAACTTCGACAACTTCAGAATCAGAACAGTAGCACGATTCCATGTATTGTTCTACCCTAGGCTCGTATCTCCACCAACCGTTGCTACCCTTTATGAATAATTTACTCAAACTTCTGCTCAACTCAGTTACTCACTTCGTAGAGCCAAAAGTGAACTTCAGAATCGGACGTGTTTGATACTAAATGCTTTTCGATGAAGCTCCATGTGTACAAAAACCTGGTTCGGGGTCAATTATTGCCAAAGGATTGATCTCTTGCGTTGCCCGATTGATTATTACTGGATCAATTACACCCCTACACATTGGGCACTTGAAATTTGACAATAAACAGCAACCTAAATACTGAGCACTGTTGTCACAAGAGTTACTTAGGTTACCTTTCAGGCATAAAAAACAAAAACTTTGTCTACAGCATTGAACTTGGATAGGCATTAATGCTTTTAAATGGCAAATCGGGCAATCACCCTCTTCTGACATCTTCACAGAGTTCAACTTTTCTTTGAAATTGAGAGAAATAAGAGGAAAAAAACCAAATAATAAACAATGTTTATGAATGTAAACATTCAACCACAACAATCTTATTCAATGGCGGACAACAAAACAGAATACCTAGGAAAGGAACATCTGCAAGCCGCTTCAAACAACTTAATCAGCCTGGGTGACCTCAACATCAACTCCTGGTTCGATGGAGATAGAGGTGATCTGACGGAGAAGATCAGCGGGAGAGTGAAGGTTGATGAGACGCTTGTGGATGCGCATCTTAATTCAAAAAAACACTGCACAAAATAATAATAAAAATATACCTGGAAGCGATCCCAGGTCTTGGATCCCTCTCCGCAAGGTGTCTTACGGGTGGTGATACGGAGAGTCTTGGTTGGGAGACGGATGGGTCCCTTAACAACAAGATTCTCGCTCTTGGCTCCTTCGATGAGTTGAGCGCATACTAAACATAATCTGTTAATAACAAAACACAAAAAATAATAACCTTTCTCGAGAGCCTTCACGTTTTGGGAAGTGAGGGTAAGACGAATACGGTGCTCAGCGTTGTCTCCAACAGGCTTTTCGCTCTTATGAATTCCGGCCTTAAACTAAAAAATTAAATAAATCAATCAATAAAGCAAATACCATTCTCAGATTATGAGTTTTCAGAAAAGTTTGAATTAAGTACTATCTTTTATTCTTAGCTTTTCTGTGCTCTTCTTCTTCCAGTTTGAGTAACTAAACACCATGTTAAAACCTTCAAATCGAAAAAAAACGCAAAAAAAACAAAGCTTCATACATAGGAGAAGCATATGACATACAAAAATTCCAGAAAATTACAAACACCTTTTCAAAATTATGGTATAAACGACAGCAACAAAATTTAGGATTACATACAAATCGCACTGCATTCAAAGAGGCTGAGCTACATTAGATACTCAGTCAAGGGAAACTACCGTAACCTGGCATCCTAAGTATCATTGGAGCGCGCTTGCAGTTAGCGACTTTTCATTAAAAATTCAAATTAATTCAAGCTTGAATCCTTATTGTTGTTCAGTATATGTGTTATTGTATAAGATTTTCAGAAACAATGATCGGTGATGTACAGTCTATATTATCTGGTGATGGTTCGAGAGAGAAAGATGATAATATCTTGAAATTGTCTTCCCTAACAAGTGTTGGTAAAAAGGTAGCTATTCAACTTGAATATCGTTGTTATTAATATTTTTGAGGCAATACATAAGAAGCAAGATAGCAGTAGTTTTAAAAAACCGGAAGGAATGCATAGAGAACTTTTCAATTTGTTAAAATCATCGGATCTACAGTCGATTATGCCAACAGAAATCAAAAAAGGGTATAGAAATCCAAAAGCACAAGTAAAAATTGCAAAAAATATGACAGAAACAGTTGCTTTCCTTTAGATTGGGCTAAGAGCTGTTCGAAAATATAAATGGGTTCCTTTTATTAATGAAGCACGATCGGATAATATGAAACTTTATCATTGGCAAAGAGTGGATAGGCTCGAGAATCCGCAGCCTTATCCATTCGCTAAATTCAATAAGGTATTTCTCCTATCCGACTGCATGAAAACACGAAATATTCCAGGAAATCAACATACCAAAGTATACAGATGAAGAATATGAAAAACATTTGAAATCTACTAAATGGACGAAAGATGAAACTGATTATTTATTCGATGTCTGTCGACGTTTTGACATAAGGTTAGTCCTTATGACGAAACATCAGTTTTATAGAAATACTTTAGATGGGTAATTGTCCATGATCGATATGATAAAGCTAAGTTTGGTACAAGCCGCTCCATGGAGGATATGAAAGATCGTTTTTACTCAATTGTACACGAACTTGCCACTCTCAAAGTAAGCAATCCATTTTGATATACATATGAGTGTTTCCTCAAGGATCTGTCTGTCGAGCCTATTTGCTATGACGCTGAGCATGAAAAAAGAAGAAAAGAACAGCTTAATAAGCAGTGGAACAGATCGAAAGAAGAAGTGAGTTAAATGGGATTGGATGAGATCTATTTTTACTTAACCAGATCGAAGAAGAAGAGGAATTGATGAAACACATGAAAAATATCGAAGCAAGAAAGAAAGAACGAGAAAGAAAAGCTCAAGATCTCCAAAAACTTATCAATATGACCGAAGCTCCTTGTAGCCCTTCGTTAAGGTATCTTTCGTTATTTTTCAATAGACATCTAGTTGTTTGGTAGTGGTGGTATGTCTCCTGCTCTGGGCAAGAAGAAGTCTCAATTCCGTCAGAAGACTGGGCCGGTGTCGGGTTCATCAGCTTTCAGTTTTAATCCGGTTTGTTTTTTCTTTGATCACTATTCTCTCTTATTTCTCTCTTTAGATTGATATATCTGTATCAGCTATTCGTTATCCGGAGTTCAAGTCTGCAGGAGCACATTTCCGAAGCCAAGAGATGAAGTTACCTACAAACATTGGACAACGTAAAATCAAAAACATTGAAGTTGTTCTTGAGAAGTGCAGCATGGGTAAGTCGTTATTACCCGTTCATCATTACCATATACATCTAGAAATGAATCCGATGGGATCAGAAGGAATCGTGCAAATATACAATGATTTCCGATCACAGGTTATGTTATTGCAAGAGCTCAAAGCCACTTTGCAAACTGCGGAGTTCGAACTAGAGACGATCAGGACCCGAATGCAAGATAATGGACTTGTAAGCAAAGTTTCACTGAAGTTCATATTATTGTCATTCTTGTCAGACTCTTGAAATGGAACCTAGAATGAGAATATCTAATCTACCAGATGGAGGTTTCGATAAATCAGTTGTAAACGGCGAAGAGGGCGCTCCTAGATCAGCAAGAAGAATATGCTCATATATAGATGTGTCAACTGCAGCTAATCCCGTAATCGTGAGTTTCTTCACTAATAAATTAGTTGATAAGCTATGATATTTCAGGCGCGGAAAAGAAAGAATCCTGGTTCGACTTCGACTTCAGTCGACTTCAAACGTTCTCGCAAAAATTGAGTACTGGTACTTGATCTCTTAAAGAACATTCTAATTTAAAAAAGATATGTTTACATTGATTAATAACATGTAAATAAGCACTAACATTGAATAAAATAATTGGTTAGCACATGGCTTTTAGTTTTATTGATTAATTTGTTTGATGCTTAAATGAATAAAAATATGAAAAAAATCATTTCAATTAGAGTTGCCTGTCCCCTCATAATTTACCACTAAATATCGCATCTCTTTCCGCTACGTTCATGGATTTTAATACGAAACCTACAAGAGAGCCTGGTAAACTGATTACTCATCTCAACTTCTCACCTTGTTTTTGGAGTTGGTGAATTTGACCAACAGTGAGTGTTGTAGCATCAATGTGCTCAGCGGCAGTGGCAGGTACCTAAAGTAGTCTCCAGTCATTCTTCGTGAGCTATTACTTACAGTCTGATGTATTTTGCGCCCGCCTACTTCGAGTACTCGATTTACAACCTTATCTAATCGTACAACTGGCACATTTGGCATATCCTTCGTTACAGTAACTGTAGTTCGAACAGTTTGTCCAACTTGTAAAACTCGGGGTTGTTTCCTACAACTCATCTCTTCACTATTACATTTCCAATTATGTCATACCACGGAACTAAAGGATTCGAAGAGGGAGCATGCTCAGTCTCAGGAGGTATGGGTGTGGAGGTGTGATTGGCTTAAAGTATACAGATAATTCGTGGAATGTTTGAAAAACTAACGCTCATTCTCAATTTCCAGCGTGTCATCCGGCTCCTCAACGAAGAAATCATGTTTTTGATCGCTATCGAGTCTCTCTTCTTTAGTATTTCCAGGAATCTCAGTAACACTATCAGAGAGAGAGCTCTAAACAAATTAGTAAATGATAATTGTAAAAGCTACTCACATAACATATAGTCCGGGCAAATTCAGCCAATTTTCGAAGTACATCCGAGTCACTAATGTTTATTAATTCTTCTAAGTAAGTCCGGTTATCATCAACAACGGCTGGCTAGTTAGAGAAAAGTTGGATAAGTTTTTTAGAGCGTACAAACTTTTGCTTCAACATTGACTCTAGGTTTCCTTCCCGATGTCTTCTTCTTGGGAACAGCACTAGTAACTAGATTGGGTTTCTCTTCAGGAGTAACTTGTTTAACATTTCTTTAATTGAATCTACAATGATAACTCTAATTACTGATTGTACCTTGTTCTAGAAGCTTTGCTCTTGTTTTTTACAGTCAAGTTCTGTGTTCTAAATATATGTTTATAGCACCATTCTATTCAATCCTACCTTTGCTTGGCAACATTGGAATTATCCGTAGCTTCGTCTTCTTTTCTCTTTTGGTTTGCACTGGGTGCCTTTGAAGAGGCTACTGGTAGGAGGTGTTCTGAAGTTATCTCTCTTCTCTTATTTCCAATAGCAAGAAGAGTCAAGTCGATACCATCTTCTCGTAATCGTTTTACTGAGCTTCTCGAAAGCCTTCTGAAAATATTTAAAAAATGAAGTTGAAGGCAACTGATACTAACTCGAACTGCCAGTCTTGAATATCCATCTTTCTTTATTATATACAACTTCTCTTAATCGAGTCTTTAGTCAATTACAAACTTAGGTGGTGTAACCTGTTAAACGAAATTCAAATTTGCTTTCTAACCTACTATACCAATGTTGACTAACAGTGAGGACAAGATCAAACTATAAGTCAAACGACTCAATCAAATATTTCATAATCGCAAAGTCGCTGTTTATACAATAAAAGGAGTCGTAAATATTCCCATCAAGTGTTAACCGCTTCACCTAGATCCTCCTTATAATTAAGCACAAGTATACAACCAATCAGAGATCTCCTTTGTCAGAGAAACGTCCTTAACCACGCCCAGATTGACAATATTATCAAATTATACGAACAATGAAAAGTGATAAAACAAAGCGGAGAGATGAAAGTAGAGTTATATGAAAATGATTTTGAAGAAAAATTATGAAATAAACTATCACTTGAATTTTAAATTATGCTTCTAAATTGTTTTCAAAATTTTGGCGCATTTCTTCGTAATGATTGGATCAATAGTTTCCGGTATAAACTAAGGTTTTTTGTTTTTTTTTGAAATTGAATCAGGAGTTCATCTATGATAAGCTGAAATTTGATGTACTAGATGAGTTAAAGAAACAAACTACCTGAGGCTATTCCTCTCTGTTTTTTTTAATGAAAAATATTTTTTTTGTTTCTTGAAGCTAAATATTCAAGCCGTTTTCATTAAAATATGACTTTTTCCCTTCATAGTTCTCTTTTACACTTTTGAAAATCCTTGTTGATGAAAAACAGGAGTCATGTTAACAATACAGTTCCTCCACTGTAACCAAGTGTGGGGGGTTGCCCTAGCATTCAATTGATATGAAAATTACAAGCGTTTGATCCAACTCAATCGAACAGTTGATTGAAAAAAAGTTCATATATTACATAATTAAGTATAATGTTGATCAATTTTGAATAATATTTTAATTATATAACCCGTATGAGGAATTTATTGTGCACGGATTGAGCAAATCCAAGTCAGAAGGAGCTCAAGCTGGAAATGAAAGGATCAAGGATGGAATACCAGTTCAACTACCTTGATCTAATTCTTTCACAAAATCACTCATGTTAGTAGTGATTTGGTCGGCTGCGAGCAATAAGTCACCCTGAGATACACATATAAGCTTACATCACTGGCAAAATAATAAACCTGAAGATTACTGCTAGCAGGTAAGCTACCAGCTCTAAAGGCAGAAGAAACTTTGTTTCCTAGACCTGACAAAGCGTCAAGTGGAAGATGTCCTGTAGAAACGGAAGGATAACCTGACACTACACTTTGATTCTGAATGAATATACAGTAAGTTAACAAACATTCCATTTAAACAACGTACAATATTAAGTTGGGACATAAGTTGCTCTAGTTGCATCATGAGATCTCTCCTTTTTTGTTGCATTATAAACATTTTTTCTTCCAGATGCGATTTTCTGTCTCTAAGTCCATTCAGCTGGGAGTCATCTCCCTGCGTCTGTTGAGGACAAAACTATATAAACGATATTCGTGTTACTCTTTACCTGACTCTCCAAACGAGCTATTTCTCGCATCATATCTGTGTTCTCTTCTTCAAGTTGTGCAATCAGTTGTCGTTCATCTAGAGGAATATTGCTTTGTTCGTTCCCCGTCATGTTTCCCAGAGGATACTTAAAAAAATTAATTCAGATAAGGTATTCAAGGAGTTTCATACATCGGCTCTACCACTTAGTTTTGCAGAATATCTTGCAATGAGCTTGTGCTCATCATCCATCGTTCCACCATAAGAAATTTGTCCAGGTAACAAGATGGGAGAGTTTTGCCATTCATTTTGATGATCAGGCGGATGTCTTCTGCAGTATTAATAATAGATATTTATAATATGTGCAAAAAGTGTGAAACCTGAGCGTTGTGGGAGTGGCTGGAACAATATTTTGAAGTTCTAGAGGCCTCTGAACCCGATCATTGAAGAGAGGATGGTTTTTTTGGGGCACAGTTGGAACACATTGCAAAGATTTGTGAATTGAATGAGCCAATTGTTTAGTTGGGGATTTCTGAAACAAAGAAGTATAAGACAGTCAAATATTTGTTACTCACATAACTACTGTATTCTTTCATCTCATGTTCATTCGAATGGTTTTGACTTGTTCGGCCACGCCAGAAACAATTTTGGCAAAGTTGATAATTAGCACAACGTTGACATTTATAACGGAATCCGGTGAAAGATCGAGCCTTAAGCGTAGTTGCGTGTTAAGGAGTGTCAATCAAACTTACCTGACAAGCATCGCAAACAACAGGATGATACACGTGCTCAACTGCTGCCATGCGATGAAGCAAGGGCAACCACATTATACAAGGAGGGCACGGATCAGATAAAAACACATCCAAAAACATATTTAGAGTGACTTTCTCTTCCTTGAAGAGAATTTTAGATATTTAGAGTAAAATCTCCAAACTTTGTGAAAACATTGGCTGATAGCTCCTTCAGAAAACCCAAAGGTCGGTGCTTCAAAAACAGCAGTAGTCAAAGCTAGAACTTGTTGAAGGAAATCAATGAAGCGCGTATGATCCATGAATCCAGAAGAGTCAGAAATTTGGGAGAACATATCTGGAGAAGTATATGAAAACTTTTTATATGAAACGCTCACATCTCAATTTGTCCACTAGTTTTCCAGCACATAGAGTGGCCAAAGCAATTTTAATTGAAAAAACTGTCAATCGGCCTGTTTGCAGTCTATAAGCAGAAGACGTTAAAGGAACAGCTGTTTCAACTTACTTATCATAGGCACCTAAAAGAAAACTCAATAACATAGAAATTGTTCTATCTGTATCGATATGCTGAGAAGAAATTAATCTCTTGTTCAGGTTATGAAATATCGAAGTAAGTAGTAATTCAAGACGAGACGTCTTCACCTAAAACACCCCGATTAGTAACGAAAGTTGATCATAAGCAGTACTAGAGAATGAACTGGAAGAGCATTCAGTCCATTTTCACGAAATGATTCTATCATATTCCAAATATCAACCAAATGAACTGAAACAAAAGAATTTTAGCTCAGAAGAAGAGGTTTGTTCTTACCATTGGTCTTTTTTTGGATAAAGCGTAATTTACATGCTGCCCTATAGGTGGCAAATCGTATTGAATCGAAATCTTGCAACCCTATTGAAGCACATTAAGAGTATGAAAAAAAAAGAAAACTCACTCATTTCATCTATAATAGCTTGCATTTCCGTTGTCGAGTCACCGGCGCTTCCAGTTAAGGTTGGCCCAGAAGCCAAGCCGGGATTGCCAGCCATGATCGTGACTGTAACAAATAAGTTGAGGGGAAAATTTCGGGAATTAAAAACATATGTTGTTAGTACGAAAAGGAGGAATCTAAGATGAATAACGGAAGAGGAGACAAAAGAAAATCTCCTAATTCCGCTGAAGATAATAGTTAGTAAACCATGAAAGATGAAACAATTGGTAAGGTTGTGAAGGGTTTGCCAGAAATCAATAGCAGTTCCATTAGTCTATATTACACAGAGCTTAAGAGAGCTAACGCGACTTCAAACTCTAATATTACTTTCTTACAATGTCTAAACAAATATTAAAAACATTAAGGTTTAGGAGAAACTAATTCGTGTGTGAACATGTAAAACATGAAAAAGCTTTCTAAACAAAAGACTAACCGATATCTTTCTCAATAATCCAGCTAGCGAATAGCTTTCGAGTGATTTCTTCTTTTCATAAACAAATTTTCACTATAAAAGGAGACTACAGATTAATATTTTTTTTGTGAAAGCAGGTCAAAATGTAAATTGAAATAACGTCCTACCAGCTTCCATATTCCCACCCTCCCTCCTTGTTTTCTTTGCTTCTCTGCTCTCTCTCCGTTTAGCATCAAATTCAGCTGCTGCTTTAGATACTTTCCCCATCTTCTATTCTGCTTTTCCCTCCAGCTATGCTCTCTTTCTCTCGCTTTCACTTATACACGCTCTCTCATCTTATTTCTCATTCATCTTTCCTTTTCGCTTTTCTCTCAAGCTCTCTTTGCTGCTTAACGTCTTCTATTCCTCGCCAACGTCCAATGCCATCTCTTTTTCCTTTTCGATACATGTATGCTCTCAAAAATATCGATCTAGGCTCTGGAACTACCCTTTCATGTGCTGTTCGAATGGCAGGGACTAGGAACAAACCAACGTAAGCCCCATGCTCTACCACTTAGATGACTTATGCTTCTTCTCCCACCATAAGTCCTCCGCGAAAGTATAAAAACTGTCTATATATATACTCTTCTTTCTTATTCAGCTACATATCTCCCACAAGGCCTAAAACATAAAAAGAGCTAACCGTCATTCCTTCCATTATCTTCCACTCCTGCCATTCAACTCTAAATGGAATTTAATTCAATTTCCTAGTTAATCTTCCTTAAAATTTTCCCGATTACTCCAGACCAGCCTGTCTGCGTTTTCAAACCTCTTAGAACTTAGTTGACAGCAACTTTTGGGAAAGGCTCGAGAGTTAAGCGTAACATATGTGAGAGAAGAACTGAAGACTTCTCTTTCTAGCCAATCAACCCGGTTTGCTATGAAATCAACTAAATAGAAGTAAGAGTTATTGATACTCAACAGTCTTATTTCATTTACCATATGTACTCCGATCACTGATTGTTGAGAACTGAAACAATCGTTTTCTTCCGGTCATTCGGTTTTAAATTTGGAGGGATTGAAATTGTTGGACCAAGGCATCCTCCCTTTCTTTTCTTCTGATTCTTTCTTCTTGCTCACATTCTCGTCGTATAAAAAATATTGTCTAAGGAATATGCGAGTTTCATATGTCAACTGCTGCAGCATCTTCCTAGAAATTGAATGAGTTAACAAGCTGATCCATAATTCACATTACCTAAAACATCATCTATGAGCTCATATATCTTTTATTTACTTTCCTGCTCTTTCAAAATTGGCGCACATCTCTCTCCGCTTTGTTAAAAAAGATGTCACTTTGCAATATGGCATTCTCACATATCATTCTTGCCCAAGCAAAGCTTGCAATTACCCCCAAGTAGTTCGTATAGGTTATATATAAAAAATATATGCTAAAAAGAGTGTTTGAACTCTTAGTAAATCCAACGCTTCCTGCCAACTTACGTTTTGGTTATTGGCACTGTGACTCTAAAAAAACAGTTATGTACTTTGTACTGTACTTGTAACTCCAGATATAGTATATAATCCTTTGGCACAATTCTTATATTGGAAATTCTCATTCACAGTAGTAATGCAAAATGGAAGAGGGAAGAGATCTCTGCGTTTCTCCATTTGATATGCTCTCTCGTCTGCTTCTATGTCTATTCAGTGAGCGTCCTATAACCCATTGCTAAGCGAAGAACGTATCGATCGGCGCCACTGCACCACATCTAAATTGCTTCCACACACAACCTCCATGGCTCTTTCTTCTCTTGTTTCTGTATATTTTTATTTACAACTTGTTTTTATTATTGAATTAACTTATGCCGTAATCTGTTTTAATAGTTGAAACGTACGTGAATAGAACTACATTCGCCAAATTCAATCATCACAAACGTATTTCTACACTTTCATGTTTATTGTATTTGGTTCGACTCTTATTCATTAGTTTTGTTCAGAATTCGAGATGGATAAATCTGATATGCAACGTAGTGTCGATTCTCTTCGCAACCAGCTTAATATTGAAAGAACACCTATAAGTCAAAGTGCTGCTGAGTGAGTTTCTTAATTAAAATAACCCAAATAACAATAATATTCAGATTGCGTCGTTACACTGAAAGCCAAGAGGATCCTCTTGTTAATCCAATCGATAAGAAGGTTAATCCATGGGCAGAGAAGAGCAAATGTTCGGTTCTATAAGTATTCAGTTTCTGTATGAAGCAAGTTCTTCAAGTTCTCTAAATATGCAGTCATCTGTCTGAAGCTAATTTATGATTAACACTTATCTCTTCTGTCATTATATATTGCTTTATGTATCAGCTTTTCAATTGGAAAATAAACATATATGTAATCCTAAAGGTTTCTCTCATTAGAATTTTGACGGTTTCACGGGGATTGACGTGGGAACTTCTCCACTTGTGTCATTTTCATTTGAGGGCGCAGAACGCGGTTGCATTACGTTTGTTCCTTTTGTCCAAGTGAATAGCTCAATGACGTTTCTGCTTTATGGTGAATAAGATTCTCTCAATCTTCATGTTAATTAGCTGACGTTTGTGAATATGTAACGTTTCAACGGTTACAGTAAGAGTAGTAAAACGCGTGAACATAAAAACGGGAGGTCATTGCGTAGACGCCAATTGAGGAAAAATAGCATAGTAGCCCTGGCTTAGCTTGGCAGATTGTTTAATTCCGAGTCTGATGAAGTTCACTAATGAAATTCATGCGTGAGTATTTATGAAATTGAAATGTTCAGCACATTCATTCTCTTTTAGAATTTCTGATATTGTCAAAAGACTAGAAATATCTTGTGAAAGTGAGCTAAAACCTGTTAAGGAGTCTGTACAGCGACATCTAAGAGTCAGCAAAGCTTGAGTGATATCTAAACTCTGAATATTTGTTTAAGGACTTCAAAGATGGTTCTCTTAATGGAACAGATTTACAGAAAAACTTGAAAATAACATTGGCATCGTTTCCTAAGTGGATTGGTAACCTAGAGTGATCTGAAAAATCAGCTAATTGAATATATAGGGGTGCTAAATAACTCTAAGATTGTGGATTTGTTCAATGCTTTCAGCGAAGTTTACCAACAAGACATTCAAGGTTGGCTTAGTATTGATATCATCATTCCATTCCATTTTATAGCAGTGGATTTCAATAAAATTGTTGCTGCCCAACGAATTAGGAGTGGGTATATGGTTTGTTTCACAGATTAGAACAGGAAAAAACTCTTTTTCTTCTTTAGTATGAAAAAAATACTTTGAACATTGAACAGTTATCGAAAAGTAAACTCAAAAATCTTCGCTCACTTCGGAATTCCTGTTACGGATACTTCGATTGCATATTCCAGGTATATTATGAATACGAGAATATCTGACGTTAATTTGAAGATTATTGATGTTGTTGTCTCTGCCAAACATAGGGTTATAGTCAAAGTCTGGGATGGATTACAGCATCAGTATAACATTTCACAATACTAAATGATACTTAGACTGGTTTTTAGTTCCTTAGATAAACTCTTCTACTTACCTCAACAAGACTATTTGGAAAAAGTATGTCCGGCTAGTATCTATTCTTTGGTTAGTAAAGATTATAACGTTGAAATTCTGACTTATGGTTCTTTTGCTAGACAAGCCAAGCTATTGAAGGTAGGATTTAACGACAACTTCAAAGTATGAGTTAACTTACTTTTAGCCTGGTGATATTGTTATGTTTGTAAATATTCATTTGGCTGTTACTGATGTCTCCACCTGGAACTTGACAATGCACGAAGGAGGTGCTTCTTTCAATCGAGGTATTTACCACGTTAATCCAGCATCTGATGAATACAAGGAAGTTGAGAGGTTTGTAAACTTATCACATTTCCATACTCTCCTCATTCCAGCCGCTGCATGCGAACTATGGAAGAACTTATTAATGTTGAAGGTAAACTCTATAAATAAAGATCATTCACTCACTTCAATTCAGATTCTTTCAATATTGAATGCTTGGTTAGTGACTTGAGTGGTCAAAATGAAGTTCACTCGAATGTAATTGTTCTATTATATCTGTTAGTATAGTGCTTAACTTAGGCAATACGAGAACATACCAAGAATACTAATAGCAATCTCGAGGATACTCTAAACCCTTTTGCTTCTGTAATTTCTGACGCTCTAGACAAGGTACTGTTGAATTCATCTCCCGCATAATCTTAAAAAAATTAAGAGTCCTGCCATTAGCCCAAACGGACCAGTTCCATTCAATCGCAGAGAATCACTCAACAACTTATCACATACTGCTAACAATAGAAAGGTATAGTGATCACTTTTTTCAAAAAAGAATTTCATTTCTAGAGATCTTTCGAACCTTCTGGAGGTCCTGCTCCAGACAAGGGAACAACGGTAATTCATCTTTTTCAAAGTTTCCTATCTTACTTGTCTCTCGTAGATCTCAATGGACAATAATCAACAAGCTAGTTCTGCCGTACAACCCCGAAAATCTCCGGTTGTACCGTTACGAACTTCATCCATTCAGGGTTCTTCTTCTACTAAATCATCTGCTCCATCGAACATTGTAACCAAAAAGGTCCAAATAGCTCACACAACTCACACAGCTTGTACAATAAACCCTCCGAAGGTGAAAGAAGTGTCATCAAATGTAAGACGGATTCGAATGGACCTTTTCTGACTGAGTGATTTAGGACAATCCGGTAACTGCTTCCAAGACTCAGAATGTTGCTGGTACACAGGATTTCACTTATGTTGGTTACCTTATGAGACGTTATTTTACTCAAATACGAATTTCAGTGGCCGGAGCGATCGAACCATTCAAAACCTAAAGCTCCCAGACATCGATCAACTCCGAAGGTTCTATTTATTTACTTAATAAACTCAGACTTATCTCTTAGGCAAAGACCAATGGCTTGGCGAATCTTTCTGATCCAGGTTTCGAAGAAAAGGTTTCAATTTTCGAATGTTTTTTGATTTTGCAACTCTCCTCAGATAGTCAATGCTATTTTTTCTCGCCCGAATTGGTTGAACGACACAACACTGCCTGAAGAAATCCGAAGGGTTTGTTTGTAATTCGTGTTTTAATCGGAGACAGATCTTTGTAGAAACTTTCTCCTATAAAAAAAGTAACCTCAGAAGAGTTATCTGCGCCTCAAGTGTCGAAGGAAACAGTCCACGCGGAGATCATTGAAGGTGCAACACCCTAGATCTCTCGGGCTTATTTTTTTATTTCAGTGGAATCTTCTTCTGATGATGAAATAGTCATAATCATGCCACCAAAACCAAACCTATCAATGCGTTCTTTAAGAGCACGGCGGATTAAATGATTCTTTCTTACCTGAAATTTAAATATAAGCTATTAAACTTCATATGATCTTACTTCAATTGTTGAGAAACCACACTCTATAACACCTTATCAAACATAAAAAAGATGACAGACCACTCCAGAAACTCATATTGCTTAACAAACCATCTACCAGAAGAAGCTTTATTTACATTATTTATGAAAAGCATTAGCAACGCCGGCAAGGTATGTCATCTTCGATCAGTTTTTCAATTCGACAGATCAAGTCGTCCCCTAAAATCTTTCATTCTACATGTTTTTTTTTGAACTACAAGAAAGAAACATTTGCTTCCCAGATCTTTCTTGTTTGTTTTTTGTTTCGATTTATGTCACAGATCTCACTACCTTCTCTTTCAACGAGAATTTCATATCATGGAAGCTTCAAGTTGCATGATTGAAATGCATTATAAAGAGAAGATATGTGAATAATTAAGAAAGAAAATCACGGTAGGAGTGTTCGTATCAATAAAACTAGAACTAGGAGAAAAACAACCAAAATTTTTCTTTGGTCTTCTCACTTTCTGAAAACTTGTACAATTGGTCATTATTAGCGATATACGGCATAGTCGAATGAGCGCCAAAACAAAGAACAGACAACTCCCATATTAAGAAAACATTGTATTAAAGTTGTATTTGAAAATATTTACAGAAGAATAGAACTGATTGTTCTTTAGTTTTTTCCATTCTTTATTTGTTACCGGTACTATATTTGCTTAAAGGTTTTTGCTTTCGTGGTCCCAAAGCGATTTAGTTTTTCATAACGAGTGCTTCTATAAACTTTCATGACGTTCTACAAGACGTGCGCAAGTGTATAGCTCAAGTGAATATGGAGATGAATGTTGTGTCGAATTGTTAAACGAGGGCTATTTTGCAAGAAATATTATTTTGCTTATACCAGTGACATCAGGTGACTCTTATACAAATAGAAATAAATCGAATAAAATAAAAGTATTATTAAGTTCTTCAGCCAGTCATTCTCTCAGTGTTCGAAAGAATTATAAATTCAGAAACAGTATTGACGCTGGTCGTTGTTGTTTATTCATAATGTTGAATCTGTGACACAGCTGAACTTGCTCAATCATAAGATTGAGTCTTCTTTTCGTATGAACATCCAATCTTGATGCGATGTGAGGTTAATCCTGAAAACTTTGAAATATATCGTTAACTTTTACTAACTTCTTCTGTTATTTCTGTGTCGTTTATGTTTCTTTCTTAATTACTTCTTCAAGTTTTTCTTCAAAAAAAAAAAACATTTAGACCAAAAGAGCAACTTCAATTGTGGGAGTGCGTGCTGCAGATGCCTATCTGTGAACGAGATTCTGCGATATAATCGCTTTTATCCGGATCGACCATTTGTATCAGGTATTGAGAGTGAAAGCGTGAGTTAGAGGTTGGATAGATAGTAGATTCTATTTTCCTTTCAATTGTTTTGTTGCGAATCGAGAATGGTAGGTTCTGCTTTCCTTCTTTTATGAATTTAACTTATTCAACTCATTAAGGAGCCCAAAAGTATGCAAGTCAAACTACAACCGAGAAACACTTTCTCATTCTTGATAGCTTTAGGATTTTTTTATTTGGCTTACTTGATATTTTTTAAATCAGGAGATGATTTTCCTGAGATTGATGTTAACTTGAAAGATGTCATTAGGTAAGGTAGTTACCTAGCGTCGGGGAAGCCATTCTCATTTCAGTTATGCTGTTTTAGCTGTAGAAATGGGTGGTCATGCAGTGAAGAAGATTCACGAAGAAAATGGTAACACTAAACTGTAATAGGGGCTCTTATGAACGTGTTTCAGTATTGAATATTGCCCAAAAGGGACTAACAGATGAAGGGAAAGCTGAATTATTAACAAAAGCAGACTTAGTTTCTAACCATTTAATACTTGATGTACTACAGCGTTTTCCACATCTGAAGGTAATCCAATATGTTTTCGAACGTTCTGAATGCTATATTTTGAGGTTGTTACTGAAGAGAAAGACACTAGTATAACGGATAAAGAAGCTGATAAATACCGTTCTGACTCTTATGCTCTTTGGCTAAGTGTTCGGGATATTTTGGATAAAATGCCAAGCAAGTTAGTTTCAGTCTCCGTATTTCATTCATGTTTTCTTTGACAGAAGAATCCCTCTGAATGATATGCAAGTTTACGTTGATCCTCTTGATGCCACACAAGAGTTTACCGAAAATTTGGTTGAGTATGTTACTGTGATGGTTTGTGTAGCAGTGGGAGATGAACCCATTTTCGGAGCTATATATAGGCCTTTCTACAACGAAACAGGTAGAATAGCTAATGAAGATGAGTTGTTCACAACAAACTGTTAGTGTTTGGTGTCAAAGATTGGGGTGTTATGTCTTCGAATGGTCAGAAGGTGAATCTCCCTGATAGGTCCACAGTCCCGAAGAGAATTATAGTCTCTAGGTGAGCTTACTTACATCCTTTTCATCTCTACTTCGTCATTACAGATCCCATTCTGGAGCTGTTCAAACGTTAGCAGAAAAGTCTTTCGGAAATACTTACACAGTAGAACCTGCTGGTGGTAGTGGGTACAAGACTTTACGGGTTGTGAATGGAACAGCAGGTAATGTTGCAATTTGACGGAATTGAAAAATCCCTTCTTTTAGAAATTTACGTTCATCAGACTGCTATCAAAAAATGGGATACTTGTGCCGGAGATGCTGTACTTAGAGCTTTAGGAGGTGCCATGCTCGATCTGACTGGAGAACCGTTGAAGTATGTTCGAGAATGATTGAAAGCGTAGGATATGTCTTCAGATATGGACCAACATCGGAAATCGTGAATAGAAATGGATTGATAGGAACGGTTCAGGATCCTTATAGCTATTATAAGTTAGTGCAGCCACATATACCTCAGTGAGCATTATTGGTGTTTATATGTACGAGTTGTTAAAATTATTATAAATTATTGGTTTTTCTGTACAAATATGGTGTATTCTTCGATAAACATTGAACTCTCTCGACTCTGTCATGCTCGATATCGTCTGATCATTAAGCAATACATGAACATCTTTTTTGAAATATCCAACAGCTGTATTAAGATGTTACGAGGCTTACGGTCTGGTTATGATGTGCCATATACAGGGTGAGTTCAATTCACCATCTGAAATACTTTTTTCTGATGTTCAGAGTGGAATGGAATTTGGTTCGAACATTGTTTCGAAGCGATAAGATTGAAGATTTAGAGCGATGTCGGGATGTTATGGCCATGTGGAGAAGCAGGTTTACGAACAATTATGAAAATTGGGGAGATTTTTTTTTGTAGGATGGGATCGGATACTCCAATAGCTATCATGTGTTCGTATCAAGTTTTATTTGTTGAAATTGAGGAGAGGAAACTAATTCTGAGAGAGAACTACATAGGGAAAGAAATTTTGCAAATGTTGCATTGTTCAGCGGTTATCAGGTTGGTGAAATTGATAAAAACAAATATGAACGCGAAAGATTGAGAAGAAAGAGTACCGGCAATTCGAGAGGATCAGTTGAAGTGAGAGATAGTTGCTTAACAGAACTGGACGCAAATAGTTGCTATAACAATTAGTGAGCAACTTGCTCCTACAAATACCAAAATAGCTACTAATAAGGCGAACTGTGTGAAATGTCCAGGCGGAGGAGGAGCCGAGGAAGGTTCCAAGCCTGCTTCTACTAAAGCCTGTAATCATCCAAAGTAAAGGAGCATAGTTCGAAATCCAAGTACCTGATCCCCATTACAAAACGGCCTATCACACACGCATCTGGACATCCACTTGCTCCCAAAACCAGACTGTTGACATGAAACCTCCTCATGCTCATCTCCACAACCTTTTTGAATAGTTTTTCTATCTAAACTTCATAAATGAGTTTGGATAATACTAATCATCAAAAACCATTATCTTTGTTCGATGTTTCCATCTTAATACAAACTATTCCTTCACATTCACCTTCATTACATGTTCCTTGATCAGAGTGGCAATCATAACATATGATAGCAGAAGCTGAAAGTAATAGTCAGATTTCTTCTGGATGGAAAGTTTTCATCGAGATTTTCTTTTTAACATCTTGTCCAAAGCAAAATTATTCATCAATTTATGCAGATTGCTGCCTTCTGCTCTTCCACTTTATGATAAACGCGCGAGAGAAATGAGGAAAAGTCTTATGTTCTCAAAGAGAGTTGGAGCATTTGCTATTTGATTGAATTTGCATGTAAATATGGGCATTACTACTTCGATTATTAGCTCACAACGTGAAGTACTCTAGGCGATTATTTTTTTGAAGCGAAGACAGAGTTAATATAAAAAGACATTACAAGAAACTGGTTTTTTCGCTCATGCCAAACGACGCAATGGTTTTCTCATCGATGGCCATTACTGCTCGAGAAACTATGAGAGCCGAATGTCATATTCCACTCAAAACAAGGCCAAAAAAATGTGAGATTTTACTAACCTGTTTGAACGAGCAGTAGAATCAGTAGAACGTTCAAACTAAGTGATCCGATGCCAAGGAGCAGCTTCATGTCATGGTCATACCTTTCGCGCCCTTTTCTGAGAAAAATAGAGAATACAGTTGATTTAAATGACAAGAACTGAGAAAAAAATTAAAGAAGATTAAGAAAATAGTTCACATTCTCGAGCTTAGGATGACATGGGCTGTACCTTAACTGAGAGCATAGGAGAGAGTGGATGGGGTAGAAGAAGAGTAAGGAGGAGGGAGGACTACGACTGACTACCGATTAACTGCCGCTAATAGAATCGTCAAAGCTTCCTTACGAAGTACTTTAACTTTAATATTAGACTTATGATGAGTGGAATAAGATGGGATGTTCTATATTCGTACTTCATAAATCTAAAAATGTACTCTATGCGTATGAGTATGTCATATGTTGTTAAAACCCCTTTTCGTTTCTTTTTTTTCCCACAAATATGGGCTCAAACGAAACTATGTTAGGCGAATAAAGAAAGAAGTAGAGAAAGCGAGGATTGAACGACGTCTTTTACGTTTTCAACTCAAGCAGTGGGACATTGAGATTCCCGAGCTAGTACTGGAAGAGATGAGCCACAATAGGAACACAAATCTATCTCTTCTTCGTCATAAAACTCGGATTTTTATGAGCTTTAATTAGCTAAATGATTTGAGTAATGTAGAAAATTGTGGGTGAACTTGGATGGAGCAGAAACATAAAAGGTGCCTTGACTTTCCTGAGATTGGAGATCTGGTCCGAGAAGAGAACGGAAATACAGCTGAGAACTCAAGTCAACTGTGAGTAATCAGCTTTTGCTTGACTAGACTGTCAAGTATGATGTTAAACTAATAATAGCAGTCAACGATGCCTTTTTCTGGAATCAGAAACTACAGAGAGAAAGTACTTTAAAAAAGCAATCTGTTACTCTTTGATGTTGTCCATAAAACAAGTAAGTCTAACTTACTATTGTTGTTATAGTTAGTTGTTGTGGAAAACAAGTAAATTGCTGAAAGCTTTTGTCCTCTCGTGTTCCCACTCTTTATCTCAATCTCTCTTTGTCCTTCTTCGGTTAAGCCAATACTCATAGACGGGAGAAGACTAGATTGTCTAACGAGACTTCAACGATTCTCTACATGGTTTAGCAATTAACCAATTAGTTATGGCCAACAATCATTAATCCGTGAGAAAAATTTAAAGCTGAAGGATTAAATAACATCTTTCTTACCATTATACAATGAATGATGACTTCATGACTATTTCTTTCCAGATTTATTAATTATGTGAACGAAATCAACCAGACTTCTTACAAATCAAAATCCATTGTGAACTCAGTAGAATCTGTAAGATTCATTCCACTAAATGTATTTTGTTCAACTCTTTCATCGTTCCAGGCAGGAATACCTAATTGGGTAGTTGAAGTAAGACATAATGCTTCTCATGCAAAATTTCCAAGACTCGAAACGTTGAGAGCAGCCAATGATTTTGCCTATAAATGGCTATGGGTACTGCTGTTGTTGTTTGTTTGTTGTATCCTTCCAATGTTTCTTAGGATAACTTTTGGACAAAGTCAGCCGATGAAGCTATCCGTTTAGCTGGTATTGCAGGGATGGCAAATAGAGATCTCGAGGAAGAAATTCGATCCGAGAAGACTAAGGAGATAGAGACTATCTTGTACAACTATGTGAATTGGAAAACAACTGTAATTGTCGTTGCAACAACCTCTCACTTTAGTTCATATGATTTTAGAAAGGAGCCAAAGGACTCAATACAGCTTATATTCCTCCTGAGTTTGGAAATCTTCAGAAGACAATGAGATGCGAACCATTGTAAATAATTCTCGCTTCTTCGTTACTCTCATGAGTTTCTTTCTAGCTTCTTCATACAAGTTTTTGCGGCCGAAAACTGCTTGCTATTATCTCAAAAACAGTTTGAGTACGCTCGAGTTGAAAGTCCCACCACTGCTGGTACGTTCACAACTTTTTCAAATAAGCATACCCTATGTTCAGGTTGGTCCGTTCCTTTCAATCTCCAAAAAATTTGGGAGCCTGTTTTCTCTCTGTTAGATGAAATAAAAGTATTAGGAGAAGCTACTATTGTGGTAAAAGATTATCTCAGCTCTGACAGTCAAACTTTCTGTTAAGTTACTATCGCACATTCGGAACAATGACTCAGCCTATGACTATCAGGCAGCTGCGTGGGCGTCTCTCATTATCGAAGCTAATGCCCAACGTGAGATTTCTGCATGAACTTTTTGTAATCTCGAATATTTCAGCCGATGTTGAGTCCTTCACAGAAGCGGAATGGTCAACAGTTCTATATAAGATGGTAGCATGCCATGATTACTTTGAGCCCTCACTCATACAAAAGTAATTTATGACATGTTATTTTCTAAATCCATTGCATTTCCTAGGGTATTAAACAAACTTCCTCGGATTTCACAAAAGAGACGAAGCCAAGTTCATCGAATACTTAACATCAGTACAACAACGACTTCAACACTTGTGGATGAAACAATGAGCGTCAAAACCGTAGAAGATTTACAAATGCTGATAAAGAAAGGTTTGAACTGAGACCATCATATTAGCACAGAAATTTATTTCAGATGCTAAAGAACACAGCGAGTGTGCTTACAAGGCTGATAAGGACACTGTTTTGGGATTCGCGTTAGGAGTGATCCCTGGACAAACTTATGAAACATTGAGTTTATCCATAGATGTTGAAGTTTTGAAGAAATGGGATGACGAAGAGAAATTGAAGTCGGTGTTCTCGGCCAAAAAGAAAAATTTCAACTATATTTTCAATGAAACAATAGAGGGATGTTAACCCACTATAGCGCGTAACTGTCAAACAGTTTGTTAAATGTTCGTTTGTTGAATTGTTCTCCTGTTAAATAAAATTTTGAGCTTGTTATCAATCTATCAGACGAATGCACAACCGCTCTCCATGTGCCTTAGGGCGCAAATGACATGAACTAGCTATGTCAACACGATCACATGCAATGGGCGCACAGTTTTCTATTGAGGGGCGGGCAGTCGTAACAAGCAATGTTACCTGATGACTCAGGCTTTCATAAAAAAATAATAACACTTTCTTCTCCCGACTCATAGTTCTATACGTCGTCATGGATTGGTTCAAGAAAACAGATCCAAAAGGTGAGTCTTTCGTTCTAGTCTTCCAATTTGCATACACATTTTAGAAGAAATGCGTGCTAACAACAAAATCATTCGAAAAGCTAATCGTGAGCTCGAAAGCGATCGCAGACAGATGCAACGAAGAGAGAAAGAACTGGTAACATACAGTTTGATATTAACTTAATTGTCGCTCTGAAGGAAGACCAGATAAGAATGTATGCTAAGCAAGGCCAGAAGGATGTTTGTGCTAAACTCGCTAAGCAGCTTGTGAATATGAGAAATCAACGCACCAAAAGCGTTCAAATGAGTGCGAACTTAACAGGCATAAATGCTCAGAACACGTGAGTTCGAACGCCGTAACCATATCTATATAACTATTTGATTAACAGGCATATGCAAAGCATGAGTCGCATGGCAGGTATTATGGGCGATACAACCAAAACTATGCAGGCTATGGATAAACTAAATCCCATTTCATCAATCGTTAAAAATATGAAAGACTTCGAAATGGCCAAGGATAAGATGGAAATGAGTGAAGAGGTACCTACCTTCTTTAGTATCAGCTAACTCCAGCTCTTGTAGCTTATGAATAGTACATTGGATGACATGTTCAACGAGCCCGGCGACGAAGAAGAGCAAAACAGAATTGTATCTCAAGTACTAGATGAAATCGGTATAGAAATGAATCAGCAGGTGAGACTATAAATTAACTCAGTTTAAAAATAATTTATTTTCATCAGCTTTACAATCTACCGAAGATTAATAATTCCTCAACTGAAAAATCGTCATTAGCCACAGAAGATGTCGAAAAAATGCTCGCTCGACTACGAGAATAAGTTGTCCACATTGTAATTATAAAGTTAAAGAGATCTCAAATAAAGATGATTCGGTTAGATGTTGATTTCCAGATAAACAGGCGCATGATCACTTCCCATAATTTCAGTTTGGATGTTACTTTTGATGACCTAAACGCAATTTTGAAGTATTCAATCTGTAACAAACCTTTTCCATAATTCTCTCACTGATGACGTAATAATCTAGTCTCCATCCTACGTTTTTCGCTCGAGCTCCCCCCATATAACTCCAGAATGAGTATTCTTTGTCATCAGGATGCAACTCTCTGTAGGTATCCTATGATGAGGCATTGTGGCTAGTTAGTTTGTAGAAATCGTACCTTAAATCCAGCGTCTAATAAATCAGTAAACCACTGTCTTTCTTTATCGGTGAAACCAGGAGTTTTATTTCTGTTTGAGGCAGGATTAGCCAAATCTGACAAAAACTTCTTGAAGCAGCTGATAATCTTAGAATTACCAATTTCATTGTGAGCAACATTAAGATCGCCGGCGTAAATCACAGGCTTCTTTTTATCCAGTTCTTTAATTCTCTCCATAAAAAGTTTTTCCCAATTTTCTCTTTTATCCAAGTTGACAAGCCCCCTTCCACTATTAGGTACATAGCACCCAATGAAGAAAAAATTGGGAAACTCAACAGTTACCATTCTACCTTCGTTATCGAAATTGTCGCTATCTATGCCTTTCCAAATCTGAAAACACCAATATCATTCAAAAAACATAAGATTTGTTTTCACTTTTATCGGTTTAACTTTACTAAGAACGGCTACACCAGCATACCCTCCGTTTTTGACAGTTGAATTTACTAAAGTCTTGTGATAACCCTACAGCAAGTATGACAAATCATTTAGAGATAGGGTCTACCTTGAAATCAGATTCTAACTCCACGGGCCACTCCTTGCATTTAGTTTCAGACAGGAAAATCACATCAGCCTTTTCCTTGTTGAACTCTTTTTGACTATTCCTCTTAAACCTCCATTATCTGTGTTAAACATCGTTTACATACCTTGGCAATAGCTCTTAAACCTGCGACATTCCAACTAAGGAATGTCCATTTTCTCTCGGTAGTATCGAAACTGCTATCAATTTCATCTTTAACTGGAGACAATATTTTCTCTTCAACCTTCGTTTTTTTGGCAAAAATCGGAGCTATAGTGGTTCCCTAGAACAAATCGTAGATATGCCTAACATCCAACACAAACCACAGTTGATGCAGCTCGTTTGGGCATTTTCAAGAACCTTCCCAAAATCTTTACCATATTATTAACACTTTGCATTGTAAGTTGCCTTGATATAAAAGGCATTAAACCGTTTCAAAAAGGTACGCGAATACTTAATTTAGTTTATCATGTTCGTTTACAGAGAAAAGATCATTTATTTGTTGGCCCAGTTAACGCGGATGCAACGTCCATTGAAATCTTGTCCGTTCAGACGATCGACAGCATTTTGAGCTCCAGCTTCATCAGCAAACTCACAGAATCCGAAACCTTTAGACCGTCCACTATCACGATCGTATATAATTCTGTATTGTTAATATTAACAAAAAATCTCTAAAGTCTCATACGTACCTTACGTTAACAACTTGTCCTGCTTGGCTGAAAAAGTTTCCAATTTCATCAGTAGTGGTTTGGTAAGGAATATTCCCGACTGAAAAAATCCGTTAAGTAAGGTTTGTAAGACACTCTACTTAGAAAACCACTACCAGAGTAGCTCAAAGTAAGAAGGCAGTTAGAAGGCCTTAGAAACTTTTCCCTAACCTAACCTATCTGAAAGCTACTTCAAAAACTCGTCTACAAGCTTCTGGATTAATGGTGGGATATCGAAATTGGCACAAGAATTTTATCGCAGGTCATTTCACTCAGTTAAGTCAATACCGTTTGTGCCACCGGCTCCAACAGTCCTTAGTCCATCCTCTGAATAGGCTACTCCTAGCATTATTTTAACATTTTAACCAAATAGATCGTGGAGTCCTGTAATATCGGATAGCTTTCGAAGGTTAACCATTGAGAACACCGATATCGTTAGCGAAAAAAACTTTTACTAACCATAAACAGCAAAACGGTGTGGTGGTGGAGCCTCCATTTCAGTAGAGATAATCGGACTGAAATCCCGAATGATGTCAGATGATATGCCACGCGTCGAAGCAGTAGCGTTTGAGGTCTCAAGCAGAAGGCGCCTGAATTCCGTCCTTCGCTTGTAAGGCGCAACGCCGGCATGTCTCGATTTGAATCTATTCGCATTAGAGCAGGGTTTAACATTGTAGTGCGTTTTTAACTGTGACTGGGTGGTTATTGTGGTATTCGATTTTGTTAATCGAAATTTATTCCAGGTGATGCCACTAATAAAAAGGGCAGTTTCTCCTGTAGATGTAAGTCGTGGCAGAATCCCTCCTAATCTTCAACATGATGAACTACAATGCGTTGCTAACGGAACTTTAGCTAATCTAATCCGTCAACTCAGTTCTTTAAGTAAACATGCTGAACATATTTTTGGAGAAATATATCTAGAAGCTATGAAGTTAGAGCACAAGTCTAACGTTCTAGAACAAAGAATTGAACGGGTAAGAAGTAAAGTTTCTCAACTGGATTCTAATAATGAGCAAGGTGTGTTCGCTCCTGTTTCCTCTTAAATTTTTTTTTTCAAGCAACTTTGGGCGAAGTTCAGATGAGAAAAGCTTTCAAGAGTTCTATGTTAATCGATCAACACACTCTCGATCGAAGTACTTTACCTGTTTCGCTCACAGAAGCGTACACTAGGTGTGATCGCCCCCCTAACTTGGATGCATTGAATCCATACAGGTAAATGCTAACACATCCGCATCTATCAGAATTTTTATCTTGTAGAGATGATCCAAATGTCAATGCTTTATCACTCTACACTAATCCCTCCTTCTTCTTTGATTTGTGGAGGCAAGAAATGCTTAAGGTTAGTAGTATTCTCTTATCTTTTTCAACATGCATAAGCAAATGCAGGATGTTGATACCAAAAGACGAGTCAAATCTCCAACGGACGGTAACAAAAGTCCTAAGAAAAAAAGACGAGCTGTCCCGCAGCAGGACCCCAATAGACAAGCATCTAGGTACTTCCATGTTTTTTTTATTCATTTTTCTTGATTTTTTCAGATATAATACTTATGTTCGTGCACCTCCAGGTGCTTTATCTTTCCCTGAAGAGTATCAAGCTCCGCAGGCGCTCGGACTACAACTGAATCGACCTCAAAACCAATACCAGCAGGTAGCTAGTCCGGTGTTACATCTCCACGTCCTTGTTTTGTTCTGTTCAGTTCCAAGCCAACTCTTCCCTTCTTCCCCCTATTGGAATGAGTGTGCATGCCCCACCGATGGATAACAAACCTCAGCCTCCTACAACCGTTAAGGTTTCCTATATCTTAGAAATATGTATCAGTAGCAAGTTATAGAGAGATTTACCACCACCGGATCTCTCCTTACTATCCATTGATGACGATGATGATTTGCCACCACCACCACCTCCTTTGATGCATACATCAATAGTTCAACAGATCCCTTCACCCCCACAAAACAATATTCAGTTTGTTCAGAGTGACAATCAAATGGTAATGTCGTTGTTTTATACACCCGGATTAAGGTTTTCGTTCAGGTGCCACCCCCACCTCCACCTCCTCCTCCACCTCTTACAATGTTACCTTCAACTAATGCGGCTACTTTTGCTACTTCTGTAGCAGTTGAAGAAAAGCAAAAAGAAGAACAAAGGAGTGATCCAAGAAGTGATCTCCTTTCACAGATTAGGAAAGGTCTTGAGCTCAAAAAGGTATTCAGTCTAAACTTGCATTTGTATGCTGTTTCTTCAGGTTCGACGAGCTGAAGAAGAAGAGGCAGAACGGGTTGCAACTGAGCAGAATGATGTGGCTGCTATTTTGAAAAGAAGAATGGAGCACGTTCTTGGTAATGAAGATGACTCCCAAAGTAGCGAATGCGATGATGATGAATGGGAGGACTAATAAAATCCTTTGCATTGTAATATAAAAACTTTAAATTTTAAAATAAAACATGTACATTACTCTATTTGAAGTTCTTTTACAGTTTATAACATTATCTACATACTTAAGCATGATGCTGATCTTTTCATAGCTTTTATTAGATGAGCAGAGTGGCTGTTGAAAACGCTCTAAAAGTTGTGAGACAGAAGTTCATTACTACCGCAGCTTCACAGTTTCCTCATGACTCTATGGAATACGATGCTGTACTGTATCGAACGAAAATGGTGAACACTATTGGCTTAATCATCTTATCAGCTATTGTAGTTATTTAATAAAACTGTAATGGGAGGAAAGTATGCCAGATCTTCATTGTGCGTAAAAGCATACGGTGCATTGAAACCTTTTTCAACAGAAGAAGAGCTGAAAAAAGTTGCGCAAGTAGCTTGTACAATGGAGATGGTAAATTTACAATATCTACAAGCTGTCTCCTGCATTTAAAGTGTTTTAGGTCCAATCTTCGTATCTCATCCTGGATGATATTATGGATCAGTCCCAAACTAGACGAGGTGAACCCTGTTGGTATAAAAGGGTTAGTTAATCTGGGAATTCGTTTCTTACGCCATATCACGTTGTATGTGCAATCCCATTTACACTCAATTCGAATGATATCTTTATCTTTACAGAAAAACATCGGTTACGGTGCTATCAATGATGGGATTCTGATAGAATGTTTCGTTGATGATTTGATTGAGCAGATCATACCAAACCACCCCAACTTGAACCGAATTTTAAAAGCTTTTCGAAAAGTTGGTTGATAACTGGTTTGGGATACTCATTTATTAAATTTAAGTCGAAAAGAAACACAATATTAGGACAATTGATTGACTCTGACAGTCAAGGGAAAATGGCTTCTTTCACATGGGAGAGGTGAGGTGGTAAACCCAATCTTATTCAGCCTTACAATTCAGATATGAACAATTGGTTCAATTCAAGACATCTCATTACACATATTTCCTTCCTATCGAAACAGCTTTATTGGTTTGTTTTAAGCTTTTTTTTTCTATCGCATTAAAGTATATTCAGCTAGCAGATGAGAACAGTGGACACAATGATGCACGAGGGCTTGCTTATTTGATTGGGTTCCTGTTTCAATCACAAGTTGACGCTTGTTTAAACATGAATAACATTGTTTTTTAAAGGATGACGTAATGGACGTTTTTGGAGACCCTTCCGTCACAGGAAAAGTAGGAACAGATTTGAAAGACGGCAAATGCACCTGGTTAACTGTAAGGGCTGTTCAAAAGCTACAAGACCACAAAGATATGTTGGCGGAGTGGACGGTTTTGAATCATAATCTCCACTTGAATTTAATTTGCATTCTTAAGGAACTTTTTGGAAAAACTGATGACCAGAGCTTGAGTAGAATGAAAAGAATCTTAGAAGAACTCCAACTACATAGGGAATTCAGAGTATTTGAAGATAAATATTCAGCACATGTGAGTCTTATTTCGATTCACTTATTGGATCTCAATGTTTCAGGTAAAAGAGAAGATCAACACTGCGGACTCGTCTCTTAGGCCGATTGCTCAAGTTCTACTCGATAGTGTAGACAGCATTATCAAGCGCTCCAAATAGAAATAGTCTTTTTTCGTTTTTTATAGAAATAGTATAAAAATAATTTACTTGGGCTTGCACCTTGAAAACAACAGAGAGTGATCACAACACTATTTAACCAAACCATACCCAAAATTTGAAACAACAGGTATCCCTCATCTATTTCTTGATTGATATGCAAAATCATCGATGGGAAATAGGAAGTAGTTTTTAAGTCGTAGCTAAATCTTCGAAGCATTTCCTAATAGAACTTAGCTTTATCGGGTTTACTTCTGAAAAGCAAATTATAAAAACAAAAACATTTGTTCAAATCACCTGACGAAGACAACAGTTACTATTATCAGGGCTTGAATGAAGATAATGGTAAGGAAAAGACTAGAAGAAACGCAGCTAACATTTGGGCAACTAGCAGCTCCACCAGTTCCTCCCTAATAAATAATCAATTATTAGCACATTTGGGCAAAATATTACCTGGAGCTGATTGGCTCTGACCGTACGAATTTCGTTAATAAGGCTGTCCACTTTCTGATGCATACTGCTATCCAGAGGTACACCTTGTCCTCCAGCACCTGCTGCAGCGCCACCGCCCTATAACGAACTTAACAATAAGAAGAAGATTACATTACACTCAACCTGAACAATCTTTTGTTCCATGTTATAAGTCTTTGTGAATATTTCATTCACATATTGTTTCATATCTCTGATGGAGGATGATAAATCTCTTAGAGATTGCATAACTTCATTTTTCTCATGCTGTTGGAATCCAGTGCCTGCACCAGCCTGGACGCCAGCTAAACAAATATTTTGTTATTAAAAACTTTAACACTGCTAAACCTTGGCCAGCTGGTGGAGCAGCTCCTGTTAGTTGTGTTTGTTGAATTTGGCCAAGTCTTTGATCCATTTGTTGCATAACCTGATGAATGGCAGTTTGACTTTCATAAATCAGTCGAAGTTCTCTAGCAGTAGCATCTTCGTAATATTTGTTTGGATCATCAAATTCATCATCATCCTTAGCCTTCTCTGGGTGCTGTTCTTTGAACCTTCAAATTATCTGTTATATTACATAAGCTCACAAAAGCTCACTTTTGGCGTTCATCTTCGAATTCTTTTTTCTGGCGTTCGAATTCGGCATCGTACTTTTGACGTTCATCATGGGGAAGTTGAGATGCAGATACTGGTTTTTGTTGTTCGGTGAACAATGAGGAAACAGAATAGTCAAGAATATCGTGGTCATCTGAGTAATTGATAAACTTTTCAGAATAGCGATATAGTTCAAACCGGCTAAGCCTCCTGTAGCAGCAGAAACTCCGAAGTAACCATTGCGAGGAAGGAATACATTTTCGACTCTAGAAATTTCAAACGAACTAAAATGAGGAAATGCAAACAAACCTCATGCAAAGCTCATAGCGAGGAATTTGTTGCATTCCATCGTCAACATGGACAGTCAGGATATTCTTCAAATACTCGATGCGAACACGAACAGGATAAGGCTTGTTACGGAAATCGCGTTGACAACCTTAGAAACAAAGAAGCTATGATAAAACGGAAATAAACCTCACTGTTAAGGATTTGTTGAGCTCCATCTGTGTGATGATCATATGAGCGAGTTCCATCATTGATCATAACAGCAACTTGTGGGTTATTTTTTTGTCCATCGTTATCAAAAGAATCGAGGAACAATCCCATTCCACTCCAGAAGTCGTTAGCTCCAAATACTGGTCCAAGAGTACCCATGTTAGCAGTGTACCTAGGAAGATTCAACAGCTATTTTTGTTTGTGAATGATTACCAGATGGCCATTCCATCAGCTCCTATACGACCTTGCCCATTGATTTTCAAGCTCACATCAACCTGAATACAGAAGCGATTAAAATCATCTTAACAACTTGATCAACTTGGAAGTTCTCGCTCTCAGTCATTGGCCTTTTGTTCCAGGTGATACCCTTTCTGCTTCTCATGGAAGGAGCAAGTCGAAGTTGTTCACCAGAAGCAATAGCATCTCCAGTTACCTATGAACAACTGTTTGAGATTTTAGATGGAAGTCTGTATTACCAGCCAGAAAGGAATTGAACCATCTCTTTGAGCAAGATTTGGAGCTCGGAAGGAGTGCTTATATTCAAATCTCTTGAAAACAGGGCTATTCTGGGCATAAGTTAAAGCTACCAAAGATAATAAGAGCGTTGTTAGACGCATTTCTGTAAAAAGAGTGATGAGAAATATAAATTCTTGTCAGAACGATATTATACGAATTAAAAACAACGAAGAGCGAAAATCACGCCGACAGGGAATCGAACACGTCAGCGCTCCGAAAAGAAAAGGAGGCCGATAGAAGCAAAACTTTAAGTTTAAGATCTGAGTAGGCCGGTACATTACAATGTGAAAATGATTCAAGTTTTAGAGTAATTTTCATAAGTGTTAAGTGGGTCTATACATATAATTTATTTGTTGAAGAGTCGATCGATAAATACGTAGATGGGATAGTTATGAGGAGTCTCTCGTAATTAGAAAGGACTCGCCAAAGCGCGTACTCAAACATTCGAAGGTTAATATAAATATGCTTTAAGAAGTCCAAAGTTTTGACTTTCTGAATATATTTATGGACATATATATATTTATTATACAGTTATTGTAAGTGATTACGACTCACTGTATACTACATGATTGGTCACACAACTTATAAAATAACAGAATTAATAATTAAAATACATCAGAACTTTTATCTATTGTACATATTTGATGCAGACATGGCTAGAATGGTAGGAGAAAAGCAAATATTGGTTGCAGTTCCTTTCAATGTCCGAAACAGAACAATGCGGTCTGTATGGATTGAAAATATTTTTTCGCACGTCTTTAATTTATAAAAAATCTCTAATTTATTTGTTATTCAAATAATTCCACAATTTTCGAAACATAAAAAGCGACCTCCTGGCACTCTGGTGATAATAATCTGAAAGTGAGTATGATATTTCAATCTTATGCCTTATATTACTTCGCTATTCTGTCTAACGTTTGACGTATATCTGTGGTGTCACCGACTCCTCGTCGTGTGATGAGAGGCTCTAAGTTACCATACCGGATGAGCTAGTCACAATAACTGTATAACCTCTTGAAAACAGACTGACTTACAGAGCCTTGGATGTAAACCAACAAATCGTTGGTATCCAATCGCTGTGCTGTATTATCATCGAAGTTAACGAACTTCCCGTCGTTTGCGGCTATTTTCCTCACACACTCTGTTAGAGGAAACTAAACAGAAACTACTCTTTTCTGAACAAAAAAACACACCCATTTGAAGCTGTTGTCACACAGAAGTTCACTAGGATGGTATTTCCCTTTGTATCTCATTTTCGGACAACTATGGATGTAATATCCCATATAGTAATATTTGAGTTCTGCTCTCGTTTCAGATAACAGCTGGGTATAATAAATCTCTCTAAAAACTTGAAATAAAAGATTGAATATGATTGAAAACAACCTCAGGGCTGTATAAGTTCCCAGGTTCAAGAAAAGATAATCGGGATCGTAATAGACATATTTGGATGAAAGGCAATGAGGTAGAATGTCTACAACACCCACAGCTATGATTTTGTTGTCGAGAATATACCATTGGTGGTAAGAACCATACGCTGGCCTAAAACAACAAAGAATAGCAAAAGCCGGAGCCTGGACAAAGTTACTTTTTCTCATCAACAGGAACAGTCAAATCATCAACTAGAGGAGTTTGAATAAGAAACCTCTCATAAGAGGCAATAGTATTGTCAGTATCTTTGTGTATCTTCAAATGGAAGCTGATAGAGAGAAAACACACGATTGCTTACAGTTTCTTGATATTTTTTGAAAAGTTGGAAGCATTCTTGCCGCCGAAGGAGTTCTAAGCTGGCTTTGGGTTTCACAAGAACAACCTTCAAAAGCATGAATATTTAGCATGTCACCGCTTCGTGTACCTCTAGTCTATGTTTCCAACTATCTTCCGCACAATCTATCAGCGACTTAAGAGTGGAACGCCTACTTTCCTCCTGAAAGACGAGTTAAACATTACTAACAGAAGAAAACTCCACCACCTTCTGAACCCGCTTGGATTTCATTTCAGAAATATCTAATCCTTTTTCGGTCCATTTCTTATAGCATCGCTCTTTCCTTATCTCTTTCTTCTTCCTGATATCTCCTGAAGGTTTGGTTCTCTTTTCTGTTTTATGTTTTGATTCTTTTTCCTCAGAAAGAACTGCCTACAAGATATAAGGTTAAACGTATACGGAAAATCTGAAATTAACCTGTACGGATGCTTCTTCTCTTATACGACCTTCTTTAGGACGAACATCGCTTTTGAGAAAATCATTCATGCGTTTTAATACTTTCTTCTGGCTTTTAGTCAGATAAAATTTCCCGGAGTCTAGTCTAGAAAACGATAAAAATCTCGGAAAACAGTTCACACTTACCTTATAGTATACTGCGGGCAGCAAGTTTGGGCCATATTAGGCTTATAAACATATGAACCGGATCTGAACAGTAACTATGTGTTATAGAGCTTTGATAGATTGAAGATGTAAACCTTCTCCAGCCGCAATTCATAAAATTGAGATAAGCTGATGGAGTGAACTTATGGGCCCAGACTCCTAAAATAGACAAATAAGTAGACTATTTATGAGCAGTTCGGATACAGGTTCGAGGAGTCTGAGCCTCACATCGTTCGGTTTACATCTTTTCTTTTATATTACTAACCCACTAAAACCGCATTCTAACAAACTCATAAATATATTGGAAGTTGTGTTTTTACCAAAAAAACCTATAAGTTACAACTCAAGAATGTGTTATAACACGAATGAGAAAGCTCACGAACCCATCCTTACGCTTTTTTTCTCAGCACCTGAGCTTTCCTTTGCTTCCTGTTTACAATACCCACAATGACCTTCTTCTTGATATTCACAAAACTCCAATATGGAGACCGTCATTCTACAAAGCAGAAATAGAGACAGGCCACATGTCTTTAGATACTGTTTGATTTTAAAACAACGCTGATTGCAATTATAGGTCCGAGGAAAAAAACTTTTTATAACAGACAACTATTAACAATATAAATTTCTAAAACTAGACTATTTCTGCAATTTTTTTCTTCTGAAGTTCCATTCTCTTCGCCATCTTCTCAGCCTGCAGTTTACATATTAACAAAGCCTTTCTGAAGAACTTATCAAACCTTCTTCTCCTCAGCTTCTTTCTGTTGTAACATAACTTCAAACCGAGGGTCTTTAGGATCTAGCCAATAACCGAAATATTCTTGAATTTCTCTACAACATAATGGTTGAATGATAAACACAGAGCCCAAAAAACCTAATCCTCCGTTCTAAGACAACTTCCTTTTCATCTTTTTCCTTCTCTGCTTTGATGAGACTAGCCTCATACTTCGCCAATAATTCTGGATACTTTGCTTCTTTCTTCTCTAATTCAGCCACACTAGATAATGGATAAATGATGACGATGATGAACCTATTCGAACCGTTGAGCTGCCTTCTTCTCTTTCTCGTTAGTAAGCTTTCTTAATTCATTAACAACGTCGTTATATTCTCTATACAGTCCTAAAGCATATTCTTCTTCCACTTCCTATGTCGAGAAATAGATTTCAAGTCACTAACTCATCCAATTACCTCAACAGAAGGCCAGAGCTTCCCGATATTTACATTACTTTTCAAGCCATATTCTCCAAAACGTTCCCGCTCTGCCGTTCGTTGCTTTTCCCACTCAAACTCCACAGGAGGAACTCCACCATTAACAACAATCCTGTGTCTAGGCTTCAACCTGAACAGAAAGACAAAACTGATAAACTCTAATGATAGATATGTACCCAGAAATGTCGAGCGACCTTAATTCTAGGTCATTGCTTTCTGAAGCAGTTGATGATGAAAACCTTTTGAATGACTTTTCTATGATACGGAAGCTTCGTGCCGATAAACAGCGATTCATCTGAGAGAATCATATTATTACCTCGCAAAAAAACTATGAAAGGTATGAATGACGGAATACATGTGAAGATAAAATGAAAAATAACTTTCATTAAAGTCAATTTAACCGAGCACTGTTTCGAAATACGTTAACATACAAAATGAGATGCAAGTAATAACCGTTAATGCACAAGGTAAGATATCAGTAGTGTATGTTTTAAGCTGCTTTTTCCAAGTTGTCCGATGGTGTTTCGTCATCGGTTTCGTTATAAATATTGTCTGCCATTTGCCAAACCTTCAACGAAATTGAGAAGTTCTTTAATATAAAATTGTGATTTTTACCTGCATAATATTATCCTCCGAAACACTGCATATTACCCATGGCTCATTGGGGTTCCAAGAGAAATCACTAATCTTAGCTGTATGACCACCGTGAATGAACAACAACTCTGGTGGACCGTCATCAGCATCATCAGGGCTCTGCTCTTCTCCAATTTTAGACAAATCCCATACGTGTAACCTCCTATGAGTTAATAATTAAAAATTAAAATTAAATCAACCAGAAAACCTGTCAGTTCCTGAACTTGCGAGGATAGTTTCATTATGAGGGCTCCATTGTACTTGGAAGATTTCGTCTTTATGAGACTCGAATGAGTGGAGTTTCAGTTTCAAATTACGTAAATCCCAAAGAGCAACAGTCTGAAAACGTCAATCTTCAGTATCAGGACGTTTCGAGAACTTTATAACCTTGTCGGCACTTCCAGTGGCCAGAATAAATTCAGAATAAGGATTGAATGATAAACAGTTGACTTCAGCAGTGTGAGCATCAACAATGTTTGCTGGATTAGCTTGACGCGTATCCCAAACCATGAGCTTATAGTCATCTCCTACAGATCCGAAGACACCTTCATGCAGAACATGCCATGCCACATCTTCTACGACCTAGAACGAAAAATAAATAGAAAAGACGCAACTAATAAAAGCATATTTCAAAATTAACGTTTTAAACTCACAGCACTGTGTCCCTTGAAAATAGTTTTCGCGTCCAACACACCAGCGGCAATTTCGTTGGCTTGTACATCCCATAGACAAACCTGAAATGTACCACGTGAAACTACCAAGTAAGCTGAACATTTCAACTTTATGGCCCATGTTTATTGATGTTGTTTTGGCACAAATACTGGACGTCAATAGTGTTCACTTCACCTTTTTGACGTGAAAACGATGTGCGAAAGTTTAAAAAAATAAGTTAAACTAACAGTGTGATCATCTGATGCAGACAAAATGTGTCCTTGCTTGATGGGGTTCCATGACAGACCATATCCTTCTTTTGTGTGTCCCCTCAATCTAAGCTGAGGTCTGCACACATTGTCTTTAGGAACTGAGGTATGCTTTGTATAATCGAATATATAAACCTTGAAAAAATGGAAAATGAATCAAATGAAGAAAATTGATATTACCTCTGCACTAGGAGATTTAGTAGCAATAATAACAGGATTCTGTGGCATGTATCTAGCACGGTTAACTTCGCCGTCATGATTTATTTTGATTTCAGCTTCAACTTTGCCAGTGATGGCTCCAAATCCACCAAATTCTGCGAAGACCAAGATAATCCAGACCGGTTAATTCATACTAACCTCCTTTTTCTGTGTCATATTTGCTAGCATCAAACTGAGCATCATCATTTGGAAGAAGAAGCTTGCTAATAAGTAAGTGATTTTGTTCATCAGATGTGTGAGTTCCCAGAATCAGACGGTGAGAAGTATAATCAGTTCCCTCTACCTGATTGCGAGATTGAACAAACAATATATAATATTTTTTACCTTAGTAGAATCAGGTAACCACTGAACAGTTAAACTTGGCCATTCCAGAGCATGTGTCATGACCATGTCATAGAGGAAAGGGGTATTCTTCTTCCATATTTTATATTCTTCATTTATAAGTCGTTCCTCAACGCTCCCATCTTCCGTGCTGGCTGTCATCTGAACTCGTCGATTAAGAATAACAATTATTGCATTACAGGATTAGGGAATGTTACGAGTTAATTATTATATTTCTGTTGAAGGTTTTACTTTTGAAAAAAGTATTTTGAATGCAACCGAACTGAGCGAACGCTTTAATGCATTTGAATGTTTGCCAATTTTTGCCGCCTTAAAGGTTGGTCTCGCGTGGATTTATTTTTTAATGGTCTTGCGCAGAGTGTTAGAATTTAAAAGTGAAAACTTCATACTACATAAATTTACTTATACATTACCATACTATATGAATATTAACATATTATATGTTCAGTTTTTAAGATCTTGCATTTGATAAATTAATATATATTTTTCAGATGGAGGAGTTCCTTGAAGCAATACGCAACCCGTTCTACTTGTTTTATATAACTCTTTTAATGTCATTGTGCATTGTACGTTCGAAAATTATAAATATTGTTTACTTTCCTTCATTTTCAAGGCTTCAAGCGCATCTCAAGTTGGTGAAGCTGTAGAAATTGAGTTTAAAGCTCATCGAATGCAGCAGTATGAAATAAACGGGAACTTGTATGGAAGTAAATCAACCAAGATTCAGTATGAAGCTGTTCACTTGGACTCTGGAGCTCTTAGAAAGTATCATTCTTCCTTTTCTTGCTTAAAACTTTTATTCCTAGATGCGTTGTGATATCTTGGCGAGATGCAGCAACAAGAGATTTAACAGAGTTACTTGGAGTTAGTATTGGAGGCTTCTTGATTTTAATTCCAGAAGATCTAGACAGCCTTTCTCCAGAAGATCACAAGGTACGTAAGAATTTACAGCTTAGTTATCAAGTTTCTTAGTTATTTGTTGATATGGAACAAAAGTTGTCTTTGATCAAAACTGATGTGGCAGTTTACGTAACAACTTCATCGGAACAAGCTCTCGGCGTTTTGCAAGATGTTATGGGTTCAGGCTCCAAATCTACTACTGCTACTCAGCAATTGGTTCAAAGCATATCAGGAAATACATTCCAGGTAGTATATCGTAAAGTTTTAGTGTTTCCATGCATTCAGTCCAGTTCACCACTACCGGTAATCCGTCTACTAATCCTATTACAACTCCGGGAACCAACATTATTGGACAATTGAGAAGTTCTGAAGCCGGTGCACCAACAATAGCTTTTGTGGCTCATTATGATAGTCATGCCGTTTTCCCCGTAAGCAAGCTTTCAAACTTTTCAACTCCTTGTATCTCTTCAGGGAGCTGGTGTGGGTTCAGATTCGAATGGAAGTGGAATTGTAGCTCTACTTGAACTTTTAGCTGTCTTTAACAAGTTCTACGAGAACGCTTCTACTAGACCACCATACAACCTGGTAGTCTTGATGATGAATAGAATATAGAAAACAACATTCATTCAGATTTTTGCTTGGACTGCAGCCGGAAAGTACAACTTCCAAGGTTCTCGTTCACTCATCGATGGTTTTATTAGTAATTTGAGCGGTAATTGAGGCTTCACAGGGGAAAAGTTTTATGATTATTTCAGCCAATGAGAAGTTACAACTCGCCATTTGCTTGGAAGCTGTTGGAGGACCTGGCCCTCTCCACATGCATGCATCAAAGCAGGTATAATCATCAAAAGCGAATTCAAAAATGGGATGAATATGTTTTGACTTAAGCCGTCTGATGGAGCTGTAGCTGCTCAGTTATTGAAGCGGTTGAGAGCTGTAACACCTGTACAAGATGTTAAGCTAGTTACGAAAAAAATCAATTTGAATGCCCCACATCTTAGCTGGGAACACGAAAGGTGTTCAATTGAATAAGCGCAATTAATTCATCATTTGAATTCAGATTCAATATTAAGAGAATGCCAGCCGTCACACTTTCAAGGCTATCAAATCCTGATGATTTCTCAAGACGTTCTCTTCTCGATAATCCATCTGAAATTTCTATTGACACCCTTGAGTCGAATATTAGGTATTACTGTTCAAAATTGAAGTTATGATGTACGAGTTGTAGACGCATAGCTGAAGCTGTTTTGGGTTTAATCATCGCTACTCCTGAAGCTGGTGCTGCTGATTCTCGTGTCAAGGTGGACACATCAATACTTGCGAAAGATTCCATAGACAAGCAGAGAATCGCTCATTTTGTCAGATTGGTATGTTTCGAATGAGCCTAAGTTTTAAAAATAGTACACATCCAGTTTGCCTCTCGTCCTCGTCCTTTCACTGATTCAGAAATAACGAAGTCAGTTGCTGCTAATATTCTCTCTGCTGCTCAAGCCTACTCTACGGTATTATTAAGATCATGAGCGTTCTGTGGAATTAAAATTTTAGGCTAATACCCAAGAAGTAGCCATACAGGATGTTCAAGTTTGGGGAGGTGTTACTGATCGAGTTTTGGCCGAGAAAGTCAAGCCTGCTATATTTGAATTGTTTGTTGCGGGTTCTATTATCGTTTATCTGGCGGTGTTTTATCAAATCGTGTCATTATCTCAGCGTACTATTGAAGGTACCGTTGCATCGCTGAAAAAGCGTGTGTAGATTAAGTAATTTTTACGAGTCTTTCCGTCTTATATAGGTAGTTGTACCTTCCAAGGCCCTGGCCACGTATTATTAATTTATTCATATTTTAATTGTTGCCTGCTTTGTTTTCAATTGTTAATATTAAAATTTATCCACAATCGAGCTTAAAAATAACGATACAAAACTACAAAAAACCAGTTTAGTTTGTTCCATACTTCGTAATAAGTTGCTCTACGAGAGCGACATAAGAGGTCTTGGCATCATCAGAGCTGGTTCCTGTAACATCTTACTTCTTCTCTCTCTTTTAAAATAAGTTCAACCTTTCTTCTCATCCCATGCAGCCCATTTAGCTTTTCCTTTGAAGTCGAGCATACCAGGCTTTACGGTCGTGTTGTCTCCGACAGTTCCCTAATTTCCTAATAGAATCTCTTGGTTAAAATCTCGCCACACCTGCTTGAAAAAGGCATACAATTGAAGGAGTTCATCGTTGCTTGGTGAAGTCTTCAAATTTTTAACTTGAAGAGCAGCATCGTCAAACTTAAAGAACATTGTTTAATAAAAAAAACGAAAAAAACTCACAGAAAGAGCCATGATCACCGTTGAAGAGCGAAAGAAACTAACTGAAAACAAAAAGACACTTTTAAAGAAAAAAGATTGACTGCCAATTCATGAACATATACATACTGATAAGATAACAAAATACACAATTCAAGAACGAAATATCAACTAGATAGAATTTGCCTAGATTGAGGATCGTTCAAAACCAAACGTAAAAAATGTGAAGGGATCAGGCTTGCTCATAAAGGGGAAAACTTAGTCCGGTTCAAACTAGGTAATGCGATTTGTTTCGAGCTTTTTGATTTCCAAAGTATAAAACAAAAAAACTTCAACAAACAAATTTCTGGAAGTTTACACTTTTAAACAGTATCGAAAGTTGCAATGAGAGCCACACAAGGAAAGGCTAACGCACTTGATGGAATGACCTGACTTGAAAACCAAGGATGTTAGAGCCCAGCGACAGGAACCCACTCAAATCCTAAAACACCTACGTGGAAAAATAGCGACCTTCCCTCCCCATGGACGTTCACCTGGACAGTTCTAGTTGTTTGAACACGTATGTCTCAGAAAATTCAAATAGAACTGTACTTACGCCCTCGGTTTAGGCGCCAATACAGATGCTGACTCTTTTGATGTTCATCAATGCCTGACTGCTCTCAAACTTTATTTTTTAAATATATTTTAATCGCATTTTTTCTAATTTTTTCGGTATATAATTCAAAATCTTTTGCTATAAATGATATATGTAGTTGAAATTGTTCAAGAAGAAGAAGACATTTCAGTTCAATAATATTAACAACCTTCCCTGGAGGAAAATGTTGAACCTTCAAAAGCGTATTCAAGGTGTTGATGAGAATAAGAAGTATATGGAAACAAGAATTGCAATCCGAACAAAACTTTTATCCCAAGGTGTGTTACAGCAGCAAAAAGGACTCACATTCTTTTCAGAACTGAAAGATCTCGAAAGAAGTCTTGCTAGTCAGCGAATGTGTGAATTAACCTTTCCAAGCCCATCTCAACAGCATGAGATGTTGTTAACTATTTATCCTCATGAAGGCATATACAGGTTTGTAAATTGCAGAATATTGAAACAGTTTTGTATTACAGAGGTGGTGTTTTCAAATTTTCTATCACCGTCCCTCCTGAGTACAATAACGTGGTAAATTTCAAATAATCGTTACAATCGTTAATCTGTACTTTCAAGCCTCCAGTTGTAAAGTGCTTAACCAGAGTGTGGCATCCCAACATTACCGAAGATGGCGCTATTTGTTTGTCAATTCTACGAGAAAACTCACTTGATCAGTTCGGGTGGAGACCTACTAGAAATTTATCTGAGGTACTCTCTAAATAGTAGATGTGATTTTTTCGGTCTAGGTTATTCATGGACTTTCTTCGTTGTTCACTGATCTGATTGATTTCGATGATGCCCTCAATATGCAGGCCGCGCAACAATGGGCAGCTAACAAGGAAGCTTTCACTCACCGCGCTCGTGAATATATTCAAAAATACTGCCGATCATAATGTTCTTCATGCTTTGATAAAAACTTCTTGTACAACACTGTTTGTCGAATTATTTCATTTAGTATAACGATAACGGACAATAAATAGACGAGTCCATAGTAATGAGGATCATAACAACACCAAGAGTATGTTTAGATTGGCTTAATTTTGAAGTGGAGTCCGATAAGAGAGAAGACGAGGCATTTCAAATCTTGAACGAGATAATAGAAAGCCCGAAGACCGTCGGCATCCTTAAAAAACCTTTGTACTTTGTGAGAGTATTATTCAAAACCTTGCTGTTATTGACATCAGCCAACGATCCAATTTTTCCGGTGGTGAACGAGATGTGTTCCTTGTTGCACAGGATCTCCAACTCTTGACGTCCAACTTTGTCTGGTTCTGGCCAGTTAGCATCGTCCTCCTAAGAATGATAAAATGCAACCAATCTGTGTGTTGAACGAACCTGAAGAATTTCCGAATCTTCAACAATACGTTTAAGCTCGGTCATAACAGTTGGAGACACATAGCACTAAAGAGATTAATGATATATGATCTTTGAAAAATTCGAACCTCCTTCCGGATGATAGTATCATTCTTGTAGTTAGAGTTATTAGCATAACGAAGTTGGCCATTTGGGCGGAATTCAAATTCCAGAAATTCGTGACCGAATTTTCCTTTATGTCCAACATAATAACGGACGTAGAAGTCGCTTTGCTCACCTTCTCCTTCGGACATGCTTAAAATGATATAAAATGATAAAAAAAGTAAAACTAAGAGAAAAAGGTATAAGGCGAAGATATCAATCGCTCGAATATGGAAATGATATTGAAAATAAATTATAAAGTAAGAAATATAAACAAATCATCAAACAGACAACATCATTTCAAATTGAACAATTATACCGTAATTATGAAGATCAGTAATACAAGTATTCGTTAGTGTTTTTAAAAAAAAATTACTTACTTAAGAGTACCGAAAAACCTTATGATGTTTAAATAAAAAAATGCTAATGATTAAACTTCTCATGACAACTTATTAAATGCGTTCTAAAATCCATTAAGAACACCCTGAATTAGACAGTTTCATGAGAAGTAGAATCATGAAGAGCAGTTCGGCTTTTACGAATTATTTTATGCTTAAAGCAATTGGATTTTCCTTTCATTTAGTCCTCCATAGCAACTTCACAATCATCTGCAGTCTTAGTTTTTTTCATGGGATCTTGCTGAGGTGGTGGGCTCGAAGCTGGCCTTTTGTGACACTAAAACTCTAGTATGCAAAAACAAACTTTCTCGAATAACAAACCTGACTATCCCTTTCTCCGTCGCCTCCGCCATCGAAGAACTCACCGTCGTCTTCGATAGTTTGATCAGAAATAACGTTAGGGTTGCGGACCTTAATAATAAAAACAGTATTGTTGAATCGATTTCTAAGCTTACATCAGGATCCATTTGATCTTCTAATAGTTTTCTATCAGTAGCAAAAATAGTATCGCCTCTTAAAGGTTGCATTTGAACTGAAGGAGCGTGGGGCAACTCTCGAAGATTTTCAAAGAGTTTAACCATGATTTTTTCAACATAATCCCTGCTATTTTGATTGGGCATGTTAGTTGGAGTAATGTGCAATTGGAAATCTGGTCCAAAATACTCATAATAATCATTGTATGGAAGATCTAGAAAGTACATCTATGCAGAACAAAGCATTTTGACCATTTCTTACCATTCGAAATTTCAGTGTCTAACGCAACGGCAGTCTCATAAGTCCAGCAGCGAGAAACGTTACGTATAGTATATCCACCTCCACCGACAAGCATAATAGGGATATTATACCTTTTGAGAAAAGAAACACACTGTCCATGCCCTTCAGAGAAGATAATACGTGAATGAATAGTACAGTGGAAAAAAATACCTCTCAAACTAAGATTAAAGCATCCCAGCCTATCGCCGGTCAAAGAGTCTGCACCACATTGTAAAACAACAGCACTAGGTTGGAAAGATTCCATTACTTTCTGCATGACGGGACAGAAAATGTTCTAACATCATAAATATCAAAATAAAAACATAAAATATCATTGCAAACCTCATAAGCTTCGTCATCTATGCCATCACGCAAAGGGAAGTTCAAGGCATAATTCTTACCTTTACCCGCTCCAATATCCTTGGAGAAAACAAATAATATTGAACTTTGATTGAGATTAAATACCTTAAGGTCACCAGTACCAGGAAAATATTCTCCGTATTTATGAAAAGACACAGTCATAACACGATCAGTAGTGTAAAATGCTTCTTCAACACCGTCACCATGATGGATATCGATATCCACATAAAGAACTCTCTACAAATTTAAAAATAAAAATTTAACTTGAAGCATTCGGAAACCTGATGATGCTTGAGAAGTTCCAGAATTGCGAGCACGATATCATTACTGTAACAAAACCCACTAGCCTCACTTTTCTTAGCGTGGTGAAGTCCACCCATCCAATTAATACAAATATCGGCTTGTTTATGATTAAGCTTAGACGCCGCAGCTATAAGTTTTCAAAAATGCATTTCTTTTTTAAATACTAAAATATGACTTACCTAAAGATCCTCCACAGGATAACTGGCAAAACTCAAAGACACCATCAAAAACAGGACAATCCTAAACTACTGTTTCAAAGGACCTTCCTCGTGTCTCAACACTTACCTCCCCAACATTAAAGCGTTGCATTTCTTTGGCATAATCGTTAATATTATCAGGTCTTATATTTTTTAAAAATAGCATGTATTCATCGGAATGATATTTTGTCATTTCTTGGAAACTTGCGGGTGTGGGACGCTGGATAGAATTAAATTAATGAATTTCCAAATATTCTTACATATATTTCCATTTTCCTATAAAGACCATAATTTAAGAGTAGGTTATGTGTCATTCTAATTCGATGAGGTTTCATAGGATGCCCCTGTCCATAATAGTAATTACCAACATCACCTTAAAGGTTTATACTGATCAAATATTTTTTTAAATTCGGCGATAATCTCAAAATATTAAATATAAACTCACAGTCATAATAATAAGAAATTCTTTTTTTCGTGTGGGATTGAAGTGACATCTCAGCAATCAGCGGTAAACCGCTAACGGAGTTCAAAACTAAAAGCTGAACTTACAAAAATGGAATTAACTCCGATTTAAAGCATTCGAAAATGAAGTAAGGACGCATGCCAATAAATGCGGGAAGCGACGCGGTTTTTATTCATCTCGCAGCGAAAAGTACGGTAGGTCATATTCTAATATCTATTTCGGCCGTCTTCCATGTTAGCTGAGATAACTTTCTCAATGGCCTTGCAACCTCTATTTCTAAGAGAAAATAAATTTGTTTTACGAGAAAGTCCTTTGATTATTCACCAATCTCTTATCATTCTTCCAGCTTTAAGTTGCTCTTGGATATCAGTGATTCATCTATTTCTTCAGAAATCTCCCCGTTCATTTTTCACTTAATTTTCGGTCCAGCTTCCAGATAGAAGCTTCTCTAACTTTTCACCCACAAAACGAAAGAGTTTTGGAACTAATTTTAATCGATTATGAAATCTGAATTCTTCAACGAAAAAAAATATCATCAAAAAGACAGATGACATTCTCCATCTACCATTTTGAAGGAACGTGCCTTCTCTCAAATGTATTTCTTTGCGATAGTACCAGCAACGGTAAATCTTCTTTATATTGAGGATCACTTTTTAAAATCACAGAGTAAAGTAAGAATTAACCAAAAAAAAATCAAATATAGCTTGAACTCAACCGTTCTTACAAGAAATTATAAAATGAAAAAGAACGTCATTTGAGATTTGAGAGGACGTCACCAGTAATATA